CCGTGATGGATGACCCAAAGACAGGGGAAGGAGCCAAGCAAAATACATAGACCTGGAATAACAGCACGAAATTAATTAACAAGTTCAACAAATTCTAAGAATTATCCTCTACCTTCTGCTGGTTTAGCATTTTCCATATTGTTTGATTGCCAGACGATGCATAGTCTTGGAATTACACGATTAGTGGTTGTTGGGGTCCCACCCCTGGGCTGCATGCCCCTTGTCAAGACACTAATGAACCAGGATACATGTGTGGAGAAGTATAACAGTTTCTCCGCCTCCTTCAATTCCAAGATAAAAGCGAAGTTGGCAACCTTGAGGACAACATTAGGGATGAAACTTGGCTATGTTGATGCTTATGGCATCATTCAGGATGCCGTGAACAACCCAAAGAAATATGGTTAGCTCTGATCTATCCCTCTTATTTTTTCTTCTTTATGTGGTTTTAAAATGCAGAAGAGTGATATATGCTAGCTTCTGAAAAAAAAATGGCAGGTTTGATTGAAATTTCAAAAGGGTGTTGTGGGTCGGGGACTGTAGAGTATGGAGATTCATGCAAAGGTTTGAGCACATGTGCTGATGCATCAAAATATGTATTCTGGGATGCTGTTCATCCGACAGAAAAAATGTACGAAATAATCGCTGACCAGGCTATAGATTCTCTCGAAGAACAGCTGAGGGGTTAGCTGGAATTTTAGGTAGATCTGTAAGTGTAGTAACTAGGTATGCTTGCACGAAGAGTAATCAGTAGATAAGACAATGTTTTGTTTAATTTGGCTAGATATTTCAGTTTGTATTGTTTGGTATCCATGTATCTCGTCGTAGTATTTTCAAAATGCATCCAGAAAGATATGAGGTAACTTATCCCTGCATGCCTAAAACCCCAAGATATATGATCGCTATACGGATGTTTAATGGATTCAGATAATCGGTCTTTGATCGGGCATCCACCGAGGAAGAGAAACTTGAGACAGACAATTCGAGTTCCAGATCTTGTCCCCTTTGTCCCTTTTTTTCTCTCCTCTAGAATCTAGGTCTCCCGAACTTGTAGGTGATCTCCGCGTTTCCTTTCCCTCCCTCATTACTGGAGCCGCCGATAATGTCATCGGGAAGATCGTATTCAAGTGCTTGTTTCACAGATGGAAAAAACCGAAACAATTTAAAAGCACCGCTTTGAATCGTGCTTTGGGCATTCTTATTTCCTCATTCCAGCCTCTGCCGAAAATCTAAATTAGCCTTTTGTGGTATGTACTTGAGTATTTTTCTTTTTCCCCAAAAAGTTTACAAGCTGAATTTGTGGGGTACCTTGATGCCGATAAAATTAGGATAATCATTGCTGGTCTTAGGAACAGGATCGTAGGCTATGAGTTGTAATTGAAGAGCTGAAGGTAGATATA